CTATGCAAAAACCGATGTAACAACAACTCATAAGCACTTCCTCTATCTTCATGTTTCCTTGCAAAACACGTTTCGATAAACTCTCTTGCATCGTAAGGCAAACTCTCTGGAATCTCTGGAGCGTTACCATCAAGTAGAAGAGTCGCTAAATCGTCGATTCCAACTCCTTCCCATGGTTTCTTACCTGTATACATCTCCAACACCAAACAACCTAATGACCACAAATCTAGGGTTTTATTCGCAACACCGTCGTATAAAGACTCCGGAGGCATGTAAATAGGCGCTCCGACGAACGGGAAACCGATTTCCCAGTAAACAGGAACTTCTCCGACTTCCAAAGAGTTTCCAAAATCAGAAATCTTCAACTCGTAAGAATTATAATCATCACTTAACGGGAAGACAAGAAGATTCTCTGATTTGAGATCACAATGAACATAACCATGACCATGAATTGAGACCAAACCCTCGAGTATCATACGCGTGAAGTCTCTGATCATCGGTTCAGGTAACTTTCTGTGCAAGTAATTGTCCATGAAATCAGTTAAACAACCTTCGGATGCATACTCGAGATGTAATTTGTAGACTTCGTGTCCTTTATCGTCGAAACTTTCTACTAAATAGTCTCCAAGACATTTAACGATGCTTGGATATCCTCTGAGTTCGGTCAGAATCTGTATCTCTTTGTTCAGAGAGTCATCGGCGTAAGAGGTTTTTACGGCGGCTTTAAACGAGGAACCGTCGGTATTGGTGTACTTGACGAGATCCACGGTACCGTAAGCTCCTTTTCCTAATGGTTTCACGATTTTTTCGTTTGATTGCATCATCTTTGCAACGAACTGAGTTACAATCTCTAGGGCTTTTTTTTTTTKTTGAATTCGAAAAACTGAGTTTACAAGCTTAGAGAAGAAATTGAATCACTCGAGAAACTGGTAAAAAATTGTAGCAAGAGAAAGAAAAATGGAAATTGTAGAGTGAGAGATAAAGAAACATGAAACATTTATAGAGTCAGCCTTTCGTAACGAGAGGAAAAAAGGAAATTCTTATCGAGATTTGGAAAATAAAAAGGAAATTAGGATTTGGATTAAGTCGATGATTTTTTTTTTTTGTTATTAATGTTGGTAGCATTTTAATTAAGTGGATTTTTATTGTCAACTTATCTTCTTATTGACTCTTATATAGTTTGATTATAAGATAATGAACACCGTATATCGAAATAACAATACTTTTTAGCTTCTTATGGTTTTTTAGACTCTTATTATGAATTTTTTTTTTAATACGGCCAAGCTATGTTCACATTGTATACTCTAGTTAAGCATTTAATTTTTTATTTTTTTTTTTGCTAAAAAGTTAGTTAAGCATTTATCTAACATGTTAAGTCTAAAAATGAGTATAACAATACGTTTGAATTTTAAAACAAATTGTACTTAATTGATTGGAGAGTCATTATTTTTAATTTAGGTTTTGTTCGTTCATAATTTTTTACGAATTC